TAATGGTCATGTAAAATTAATGTATGGAGATACTTTTTTGACGGTCACATCCATATATATATATATATATATATATATATATAATATCGGTAATAATGTGGGAATTATTCAATTAAATAATTATTAAAATAGTCGCTTCTAATTTATTTTTATAATAACTATCACTGGTTTGAATTATTTATGAAATATTCATATATTACCTTTAAAAAAAAAATTAGAAGGTCTAAAACTTTAATATATTCCAATGTACATAGACATATATATTAAATTTTATAGTAATAATCTAGACATATTAAAGTTAATATTTATTCATATATATAATTTTATAATTTGAATAAAGCATATATAAATCAACCCAACTATACATTAATTAATCTGGACCCGTTGAAATTTTTTCTTCAATATATGTATATATATATATATTATAATACAAGAGAAAAGTTTAACAAGTCCAACTCACTCCAAAAAGAAAAAATACAAGAAGACCAACAATCTATTACAAACTAATTTAACATGCATGAATTTGAAACACACAGAATTGCCATGCATGGCTAATTAAGAAACGTAAACAGAAGGATGAAGGCGTGGCCGAACCTTAGCTGAAAGCGCCACCTTCTTCTGCAGAGCCAGACCAAAAACTTCCTCCATGTTCACCTCCTCACCTTCGTCCTCCAATTCCCACTCAAACGAATGAACCAGAGTCCCCAACACGTACTCAACCAACACAATCCCCATTCTCGTCCCTGCGCATATTCTTCTTCCTGCCCCAAACGGGATCAGCTCGAAATCGTTCCCTCTTGGCTCCATCTTCGCGTTCTTCGGGTCCATAAACCTATCTGGGTTGAACTCCTCCGGGTTCTCCCATACATCTGGGTCGCGACCGATTGCCCAGATGTTGACGCTTAGCCGGGAATTTTTGGGAATGTAGTAGCCGTTCACCACGCATGGCTCCGACGAGACTCGCGGCAGGTTCAGAGGTGTTGATGGGTGCTTTCGAAACGTTTCTTTGCATATGGCCTGAAAGTATGGAAGTTTCTGTATGTCGTGTTCTTCCAGCCGACGGCTCCGGCCGATGACTTTGTCCATTTCGTCATGTGCTCGTTTCATAATGCTTTTGTTTTTCAACATTTCGGCTAATGCCCATTCCATTATGCTCGACGATGTGTCTGTCCCGGCTGTAAACAAGTTCTGGAAAAACCAGATTAATAAATGTACTGGTTAGTAATTAATTAATTTTTTAATAAAAATTAACCAGAGAGACAAAGCTTGAGAGAAGTAGGGAACCAAGAGAAGGGCTTTGATGTTGGTGATGGTTAGTGACTCCCCCTCTGAGTTGTCTCTGTAAGCCATGAGAACATCGAGGAAATCAGGCTTCTCTTTACGTTCATGAGACGAAGTCGTATGCTCCTCTATCATCCTCGTCAACAGTGCATCGAATCTCTTATGCAACTTCTTCATTCCTCGAACGATCCCCTGCAAATCCATCCAAGCTATAGAAGGAATGAAATCACCGATATTGAAATACCCAGCAGTCGTCATCAGCTCCACCACCATGTCTTTAAACTCGTTAGATTCCGACCCTTTTGTCACAAACACGCGCCGGCCTAGTATGACCTGACCTATCATGTTAGCCAAGCCGTACGTCAACAACTCAGCCACAACAACCGGCTCGTTCTTCTGGCTCGACTCAACCATGGCGGCGAGCATGTAACCGAGCTCCACCGACCGGACCTTCGACCAGTCATCAAGCGCTTTGCCACCCATCATATGGAGGTTACTCAGTTTGCGCAGTAGCCGCCACTTGGCGCCGTAGTCGGCGAACACCATGTCTTGAGAGTCGTAAGCCAAGTGGGTGGCGCCGGCATTAGGCGGTCGGTTCGAGAAGTTGGCGTCGAGAGTTTTGAGGAATGTTCGGGCGGCGTCCGGCGTTGAAGCCACCACCATGTCGAACGTGCCTATTTTGAGGTGCATGATTGGGCCGTATGTCTTGGCCATCTTGGCCAAGGACACGTGAGGCATGGAGCCGAGGTGGGGAAGCGCGCCGATCACGGGCCACCCTTTGGGTCCGGGCGGCAGACGCCGGCCATGGGACGGATGGTTTAATATCTTACGGAAACAATAACGGGTGATGAAGAAGAGAAGAACGGCAATGGCAATCTCCCGAAGAAGGAACACATTCAGTGCAGCCATTAATGGGTTGGTGTAAGTCGTAACGAAAGATGTAACTATATACTATAAAAATATACGTATACACACACATATCTACAAACAAAAAGTAAATTAATCATTTATTTTATGAGTAATTAATACTGATTAGATAGTTTAGCAACCCGGGGGTTAGATCGAAGCACGTGATATGTAGGTGAAGTCTTCCCGTTGCAACCCCCAAAAATGTTACACGGTGTAATTTACTTTTTAATTAACCCAAATTCTATAAAAATAATGGAAAATTAAGAGAGAATTATCGGTTAAAATTTGTAACTAATACACAAATTTTAAGTCGTGTGTTAAAGCTTAAATTTGATATAATAATAACAATAGAGATTAGTCATCTAAAGCTGATAAATTAATTAAGCTTGAATGCGGAAACTTCTACATCATTAAACCGTATTTAATAAATACAATGCGTTTGATTTATTATTTATTTTTGTAATTTTCTTTTTTTTTTAAGTACAGAATACTTTAATTGAGTAATTAATTAAATTAATGTTACCGTTATATGTGTACGTACAAATACTGCTATTCCACGGTGGTTGAAGCACAAGGACTTCAAATCATTCAAGGGATAATAAATATCAATCAGATTAATTAAGATCTCTAATTTGTAATTATCTTAATTAATGGATCCATCCATATGTCCAATAAATCAAAAATTTTATTAAAATACAGAGTTCATATGAGACTTTTTAACTTATAGAAAATTAGCAGTATAATATTGTGTGTGTGTGTATCAACAGTTTACAACATTCTAATTAAGAATTGAATATTTAGTAGCATGCCTAAACTGTTGAATTTTCAATAGGATTCAATCTTAAATAGAAGACTTTATTAAACAGAAAACAAAAATTCCTATAATGGGTTTCTAATTTTAAGAGGATGTAAATTCACATATGATATTTCGTATTCATGCCTTCAAGAGTTTTGAGAGACTTTACTAAAACAAACCATGTGGGCTCTTTTAATTATATGATTTAGTAGTATCATCATACTATATATATGTCGATATAAAAGCTACCTTCAATTATTTTTATTCTTGACCTGAATTTTGTTAATTAATCAATAAACTATATGCACATACCATGTGAAAACGAAGTGTGATACATCTAAAAAGTACTTGTGGCCTAAATTATGCAACCATAACTGTGCTAGCAATAAATGTATTTTATTTGAAAATCTTAGTTAAAAGCCTATGCTTATTTTTTTTTTTACTATAAGAGAGAATGAAATTTCTCGTAAAAATTAAACTCTTAATAAAATCGAAACATCATATTATCACAATTGAATTTGAAATCATTTTAAGAACTTTAATTTTTTAGCTAAAAATTTCTGTCCAAACTCATTTGTAAAATCTACTCTTATTTTTCGCTACGAGCATTTGACAGTTGATCCCAACTTTTCAGCTAGATTAAGTCATGTAGAATTCCATATCTAATTGCCAAACTCCAAAATAAAATTTGTATTTTTTTCTAATTAAAATAGATTTAGGATTTATAAATAATTCCTCATGTGGTCAAACACAAATCCAATGACTTTGGGAATAATCATTAGCATACATGGATCTTCTTAGTTCAAATAAATGTAGATTTCCAATGAATTCCACAGTTCCAAATCGTTTAAGACGAATTCTGCAAACACAGTTTATTTGTTCTAGATATAGCCTAAGCACCAAAATTCCTCAGGACAACCGATGTTTGAATCAAACCACAAGTGCGAGGCTTCAAACGAAGGCAAGGCAAAATAATTTCCAAGTCCTAACATCTAGTTTGTTCACAAAATCCATAACTCATCATGGCAACTCCTGTGATAATGACTATGCTACCAAAATCATGACATGAATTCTTAATCCCATGAGAACCACCACTGGATGCACCAGACAAATACCATCAACAACTTACAACTCGGAACATCTAATAGCATACAAGCTAGGAACAAATGGGGAACCGAAAAGAAAGTCAAAAACAGCAAGAGTTATTTTACCACTCCTGAAAGGAGCACTTTCATGGGGCCTGTATTTTCGAATGCATTCTTGTCCGGTTCAAGGCTCGTGAAGACAAGCTAACGTAACAAAGGCTAGCAAAGGCATGTTAAAAGTTATAAATACCATAAGCTAAAAAATAACCAACTTAGAAGTGATGCCAATGAATACCCAGCACATAATCCATCCATGCTCCAGTTATACATTCTTGTCTATACTTGCAAATCTGGAGAAGACCAAAAACCTCTAGTTATCCCCTCAACCAAGGATTTTTCTACTACAACTGATACCAACCTTGTAAACTTTTGTACTTCATTACCATTTTGATTATCATTTTGACCATCAACACGTTGTATAAAGTCGATTGCAACAAACAATAGCTACAATAATAAAAATAACCATCAAAATGATAACAAAATATTGCTTCTCAAACAAATGAATCAAAGAGAGGACATTGATCAGTTCACCAATCTCCGGTAACACATGTAGCACATACTCCCTCATGTAGAGTTTCAGTGAGAAAAGGATCCTATCGTTCCATCAGACTAATTTTCTAAAGGATTGAAATGCGGCAAACTGAACACCGGTTACAAATCAAAGAAATTCAAATTACATTACTCAAGAATTTCTTTAGAATTGTACCTCCAACATCCCCTAGCCTTAATAGGAAAAATACTGAAGCCCACCCCTTCTTTTTTTTGAGATAAGAGAAAAATTGAAGCCCTCCTCTTTGCATCCACGTCAACCAAGCAGACAAAATTTGAACCTTCATATAGCTTTAGACCCAACAAGCCCGAGAAAAATGCGTTCGCCATCCTTCATCTATTCTCCCGCGTATTCTTTAGAAAAATCTTATATTGCAAAAACACATCTAAGATAAAACAAATATTGCACAATTCAAACCGAATCGTGGCTTGCGGGGGTTCGTTTAGTGCTACAGAACTGGCAAGACTCACAACCACCTCTTCCTGCATCGTTCTATGCCTTTAGACAGTTTGGAATCGCGTTTTCAAGATTTCTGCCTTTTCTCGGGTTATCCCTCTGATTATTTATTTAGTCCTTCCTGCCTTCAGTTCTGATAGGTCTGGCAGTGAAAGAGAAAGTTCAGCTCTCTGTGGGTTGGGGCAATCGTTTCCAGATTGTTGGTGAGTCGGCTGGATAAGAATGCAAGAATCTTTCAGAACTACAAGTCACTTTTCATGATTATCTTGGGTAAAGACTTCTTTTGTTGGGGGGCAGATGCTTGGGCTAAGGCCAATAGATGATCTAAGGATATGTCTGTATCAGTTTTGCGCAGAGATTGGCTGACTATTGTTCCCAACGTTCAAGTTAGTCTTTTTCTTTTCTCTTTTTTTTTTTTTCTTTCTCTGCTGGAGGAGACCTAATCCTCTTGATTTATGTGAGGCACTGACCCTCTTAATTCTTATCTCTTCTTTTTCAATTATATTTTTTTCTTCTACCATCAGAATAAATATTTAATATAAAACTCATACAAATATGAAAAAGGAAAATGGTAATCCCAAAACTCAGGGATTACAAATCCAGATAATTGATATATCAGATTATTTTTCACTCAACCTGGTTATGTCATTGAATTAAATTCACAAATAACACAGCAAAACTCCCAATTTTAAAGCAAACTGGTTGAAACACATAGACTATCCACAATATTTATGGCTTGAGATGCTCAATTAAACATAAAGGCATATATAATCCACAATCTGATATAAACCCTAGACCAAGAGTCTGCATAAAGGATTAGCAAATTTCTGTGTCAGCAAATTAAACATCGCCGTATGAAACCCAAGGCTAGGCATGTAGAACAGATAAATCCGTCGATAAGCAATAACTGTAGACAATAAAACCTCTAGTCACTGCATACACAGTATACAGCAGTCATAAAGCTCAATACAAGTACACAGCAGACACCGGAGAATTCGAGAGATTAGAAGAGGTTGTTTACTTGTCTTTGGTAGAAACTCCGTATTTCTCCTGCATCTTTGCCAGCTCGTCTTCCTTCTTCTTCTGATCAAACTTTTTGCTCATCTTCGCTTGCTGGTAATAGAGAACAATAAGATACCTGTTGGCGACGTTGAAACCAGAGAGGTGATCGACGGCGGTCTTTGCATCGTAAATGTCCTCGTAAACCACGAAGGCGGTACCACGCGTGTCCTTGTTGGTGCCGATTCGGATCTGGCGAATCGCCCCGTACTTGCCGAAGATATCATACATCTCCTCGCTCGAGATGTTGAACGGCAGATTCCTCACGTACAGCACGCGGTTCACCTCCGGTGGAAGACGAGTGTTGCCCTTACGCAAGCTTATCGTAGCCATTTCTAGTGTTTGGTTGCTCAGAAAGCGTCACAAAGTTCCTTTCTCCGGAGCAGACGAGACTCAGAAACAAAGGAAAGAAAGATCCGGTAGGGAGGATTTTGATATGGGAAAGAGTGGCGGTGTCTGGGGGTTGGGGTAAATGGCCCAGAAAAGAGACGCCGCCTTCCGTAATTTTCTCAGTAAGGGCAAATCAGTCATTTGGACTTTTTTAATTATAATTTTACATTTTTTTATGACTTCATTTTGTTAAATATTAAAAATCAATAAACCTTCTGTGACTTCCGATTGTTATTTTCTCTGAATTTATCAACTTTTATGTTCTTATTTTATAATTTTTAATATTGATTATAGTTTATTTTATTTTAATTTAATTTAATTTTAGAGCTTAAAAACCTCTGTTTTAAATGTATAAATTCTCTCCAAATTTTATAAAAAGTAGATTGAGATGAAAACAAGAGAATCATGTGGGAAGAAGAAGAAAAACCAAAACTATAAACAAGAGTTACCAGAAGGCGTGAATAAATGAATGAGAATACTTTCCCTTTCCCTCTATCTTATACTTTTTTTTTTTTTCTTCCTTCTTCTTCTTCTTCTTCTTCTCGTAAATAAGATGTGTTTTATGTTACAAATCAAAATTGTGGTGGGGTTGCAACAAGACCACAGCTAGTTTCTCTTACACTCTCATCATCAGAAACACCAGCATCTCTAACTTTTCACAAGCTTACAAAATATCCTTTCTCAGTCCTCTCTAAGCAACCTCATCATGTTCCCCCCCTCTCATGGGGATCAACTCTGTCTGTGTCTGTGTTCCACCGCCTTTGATGATGAATCGGCAGTCGTGGTTGTGGTGGCTCCAAATCCCACGATTCAATAGCATCCCCGTTCCAGGCATGCACGCACTCACACCAAGACAATCAATCAGAAAAAATAAAATTACCATTGCAGGTGACTGTGTGCTTGCAGTATGAATGCCAAATAGACATTCCAACCTGTGAACTCTTCTCCAGTGTGGTTCTTCAGAGAAGATCGTCCGAGACAGATGTAGTAGGGTGAACCCGGCCTGTGTTATATCAAATCAAATCAGTAAGGTATGACGTATGGCAGAGCAACTATGTCAACTGAGTCAATCTGCATAGATTCTGCCCAAACTTTTGGTGTCTCATCAACCTCAGAGTATTCCATCCTTTGCCTCCTTGGTTGGAGTTCACTCTTGCGGAAGAGCCATTCTTGGTCGTCAAAATCAGACCATTCTTCCATTTTAGGTACTGTAAGAATCTCGTTTAAATACTTCAAATCTGGATGGGGAGGCTTCTTAGGCACCTCAGCATTTTGAACAGTTTTTGGAGTTACCATGGCGTGAGGTTTTAACGAGGAGACAGACAACGATTGACCTTCAGCTCGTGCAGTGGATGTAGCCAGAGGTGGTTTTAATGAGGACACAGTCAACGGTTGACCTTCAATCATGCCATTTACTTTCCGTTCTTTGCTATCTACTTTATTACTCGCACTCCCTGGTCTATCTGAAGTAGATAAGGACGAAGCTTGGCTCAATTCCAATAACCTTCCATTCTCAGGAAATGGATGAGA